AAAAAAAGGCCCAACTCTATTATCTACATATGGAGGTGGTGAGCCGGGCTAGAGGGAGCTACTATGATAAGAAAAAAGCAGTAAGAACACGAAGTCCGAACCTGAACTAACAAAAAAAAATGCAGAATGAGAAGTAGAATGAAGCAAAGTGAGGGAAAAGGGTTCCTATGTCCTCCAGCAGCCTAAGCCTATAGCAGCTTAAGTAGCTTACGAGGAAAAAAAATGAGCGGTGTAATTGAACATATCAGCTAACAGAAAAATAGTATGAAAAATTACTACATTACAGGACAGGATGACTGCCAAAAGCTTAAAAAATTTCTTTTTTTTTTATTCATACAAGCAGCTGACCTCAATTTCTCTGTTCAGGTTTACCTTGCTCATCAGATCCATCAGCAAAACCACAGTCCAGCCGTCCATCACACAGTCGACTGGCTGGTAGACACTTCCCATTGGCGCACTGAAACTCTCCAGGAGGACACAAGGGCATGGTGGTGGCGGGTCCACAGAACTCCTCATCTGATTGGTCGGCACAGTCTGGGTGGCCATCACAACGCAGAGCCAGGTTCAAACACGGTCCGCTGCAAGGTTGGGGTTATCTCTCTTAATTTAATTCAAGGATTTTACAGTAGTCCTACACAAAGATTGACTTTACAAAGTTATGATTTATCAAGATCTTTTAAAATATTGTGATATAATCATACATGCAAACATTCAAAAAGCCACAAAACACATTTGTAAGCATGTTTAGTACATAGCAGGAATCTCAAATTGCATGATTTATATTCAGTTGTACAAACAATTGTATCAATTGTGTTTGCAGGGCAATAAGATCTATTTACCTTTTATGAATGATTTAGATGCAGTTTATAAACAATAATAAACAAAATGTTAAGTATAAATAAATACCCTCTTTACCATTCATATATTTTAGTTATTATTATTATATTAAGTGTTACCAAAACTATTTTACTGGATAGAACTAGAATAATTTTTCTAATCTTTTTTGATTAATACATTTTGTATTATGCTAAAAGTCATACTATTATTAATTTATCTTTTTTTATATAATTTTAATCTATCTTTAAAATCAGTTTTGCATGATGAAAATAAATGCATTTAATTGACCTATTATACACCTATACTCAGATAATTCCTGTTTTTAGTTTTAAGAATTTTAGCCTCTAAACCACAAAAATAACAATTCATCAGCTTGGGGAGCCCCAAAATGCATATAACTACATCACTTTACATCAGGGGTCGGCAACCCGCGGCTCCTTGGAGCTTTTTCAAAAATGTATGAAAATGGAACTAGATGGATTTTTGTTTTGTTTTTAATGTTTTTTATGTTTTAATATTGTGTGTAGGGAAGAAGGGAGCGGGAGATCGACAGGCGAATTGGTGCAGCGTCTGCCGTGAGGCGGGCGCTGTACCGAGAGACAGCTGAGTCAACAAGCGAAGCTCTCGATTTACCGGTCGATCTACATTCCTACTCTCATCTATGGTCATGAACTCTGGGTCATGACCGAAACAACGAGATCGCGGATACAAGCGGCCAAAATTGGTTTCCTCCAAAGGGTGGCTGGGCTCTCCCTTAGAGATGGGGTGAGAAGCTCGGTCAATATGTATACACAATGATAAATATGGAAATGGGTTTAAGATTTTGTTTTATACAGCTTTCAGACATTGAATGAGCAGCTTATCAGCGAAATGAACATTTCCATTTCATAAAGTGCAGCAGATTTTAAGCAGCAATTATTATGATGCTCTCCATCGGGATTGCATCATAATAATTGAAAAACCAATCTTGTGACCTCCAGCTTGGTGTCACACAACCTCCAGAGGTTCCAGATACCCATTCTGGGAAAACTCTGTGTTAGATGACTCCAGAGATACATAACTTTTTTTCTTCTCTATCATACAAAACAAATTTTTACTACCTGAAACAGAAAAAAAAGATATTAATTCTGAATTTTTCCTCCATTATGTTACTGTATGGATGTTAATGAGTTATTGTATTTTTACTTTTGGTTAATGGTTAAAATATAAACAGTTAAAAATGTCATATTAGTTATGATATTCTAGTGGAGAGCATCACTGCTGCCACCCATTGGTTGAGAGGGGAACTGCTTGTTCAGGAGATGAAAATTTAACTCCACATAGGAAGAACTAATCATGGCCGCCTACTAGCTCTGCCCGTGGACTCAACTGCAAACTAGATAGCAGCCATGATGCCGATGGTAACCCTGGAGGAGCCAACAGACAAAGACAAGTTAGTGTGGAATCACCTTGGGGTGCTCATGCATCGGAACTGGTCTGGGGAGCAGGTAGACGGGCAGATCTCATCTGAACCATCTCCACAGTCGTCATCGTTGTCACACACCCACTGGGAGGAAATGCAGCGCCCGCTGGCACAGGAGAACTCTGACTCCAGGCAAGGAGGCGGCGGAGGAGGGCATGGCATTCCCTCACAGTGCCAAACACCCTCTTCACAAGAACTGGATAAAATAAATGAATAAAAATACATTATTTTCTAATATTAAAACATATTTGATTTTCCAGTGTTTTTAGATCGACAGACCAGTTCTGACAGAGTTTAGTGATGGTACTTCCAGGTGGAAACATGGAGCCTTCCCATTCACAGGGGCACTGGGTGGGTTCTATACAGCCGTCACCTGTGGAGGAAAACAATTAAAGCATGCTGCTCTGAAAGTTTATTCCTCTTTAATCTAAAGATCCTTTTCATCCTTTTTATAAATTTTTATGGGTTTGATGTTACAGTGAGGTCATTTTGAAAATAAAAACGCCTCATATTTACTTCATGAGGTAAACAAACAAAATCAACAAATGCATCAACCACAGCGGACAAATTCAGTACCAATCTTTAACATATCTTTCATTACTTTAACTACTCATAGCTAATGAATTAGCAGCTGTGTAGCATATTTGTTTTACCATGTCTGACTGTGCCAGCAGGGCAGAAACAGCCCTCCACACAGGAAAGCTCTCCACATCTAGAGTATGGACTCTGCTGAACGCTTGGGCATGACAGAGAGCAAGCCGGCCCGCAAGGATCGTAGACCAACCCTTTATCACACTGAAGAGCTGCAAAATAAGGAAGAGGTTATGAAAGAGATGCATTGATAGATTGAAATGGTAAATGGTAAATGGCATGTACTTAT